TCGACTCCAACCGTCATTTTCACTCTACTTTTGATCTAGTCCATTAGCTCGATTCAGGTCCGGGTACATTTAATCATCTACCATATAATTGTTGGGGCACAGCGGAAATATGTAGTAGGTTTAGGATCGAAAATAACAGAGGAAATTATTTCACTCTAATATCTCACACAATTAGGCAATTGTTGCCTTTACAAAGAGCTCACAACATATATGCTATTATAGCTCTTATGCTCTCTGTTTGGTAGTCTTGGCTTCTGCCATGTTGACTGTTGTCTGAAAGACTTGCTCCAGTGGTTGATCGGTAAATTTCCTCATCCTCTGCTCATGAGCGACAAGTGAACCCATCAATTCAGTCATTGGAAATTTTGACAAATCTTTTGTCTCCTCAATGAACGCCACAATATGCTCAAATTTTGGAGATAAACTGCGGAGAATTCTCTCCACAATCTTCCTTTCTTCCATGATGTCACCAGTTGCTTTGATCTGGTTGACTATCTCTGCTGTACGAGAATGAAAGTTTTTGATACTTTCAGCCTCCTTCATCGACAGGTTGTCGAAATCACGCCATAAATTTTGGCGTTTGATGGAGATTGCCCGATGGTTGCCTTGAAATTCATTCTGCAAAACTTCCCACGCCTTTTTAGCATTTCTAATGCCAAAAATTCGAGGATATATAGCCTTGCTGACCGCCTGTTGAATTATTCGTAGGGCGTTGGCGTTCCTCCGGACATTCACCTTGTATTGCTTGAACTTTGCTTCTGACATTTTGCCAGATTCTTCCTCTGTCTTAACTTCATCATAACCTTCTTGGACGACTTCCCACAAGTCTTGAGCAATGAAGATTGTCTCCATTTGTTCGCTCCAGTACTCGTAGAGTTCACCCTCGAATATGGGAATTTGATTGGGAGTATTTACGAACATTGTGTTCGACTGGACTGCTGCCATGAATTTTTTTTTTTTGGAGGGTATTTTGTGGGTAGGAAATATGAGGTTGGCTTAGGAGGATAGAAAGAAAAAAAAGATATAGGAGGATAAGATAGTGGTATCGGCTCTGATACCAAATTTGTTGGGGATTAGCGGAATTGTGGTAGAAATTAGGATCAACACAAAGGAAACTTTTGGTGTTTAATCACTCACTTTTAGAAAACACTCAAACAAACATAGCCTTACACTTTTTGCCTTATGTGTTTAACTCACAAAAAAGAAAGATACAGATACCATGGGACTTTCTTTCTTTCCTTTCTTTCTTTTTACTTCTCTGACACTTCTTCTTTCTTTCCATACATACATATATATATTGAAATGAAATACAAACATATAATGCAACAACACATGGCTTGCTCTCTCTTATCTTCCATGCATTTACGTAGATCAAATTAGTTGAGGGAAGTGACAATGAGCTTGGCCCATCCAATAAATAACCGTATATCCACTCTTCAACTTGCTCATCATCTTCAATTTTCTGTCTCCACATTCACTTGATAATGCATAACATTATTGGTAGTTATGCTTTCTTCTCATGATGTCAAATGGATGGCTTCAATAATATTTGATAATTATTCCAACCAAAATGGTAATGCATTTGTCTCCTTGAGTTGATGGTAATGGGCCATAGTTTAGTATTGATAATTTACTATTGCAAATTACCATTTAACAATAATTAACTACTTGGCATGCAATTCAAAAGAATATTACATAACCATAGGTGACAAGTTAGGGACCAATATTAGAGATACATACATCATCATCAGTAAGTATGATCAAGTGTTCTTTTCTTATATCTAGCTAGGTATAGTATGGATTCAATTTAACCTAGTTCTCGATGGTGTCAAATGTCAATTACCATTCCTAAATCCTTCCCGCCATGCCTACAAGTAGTTTCAGAAATGAGTACTGATACTAGGCTTTATGATTTTTGTGGCTGTTGTAGTCAAAACTTTGTCGTAAAACTAAAACAGCTATAGCTTCTGCGAAGTAATATTTTTCCTCTGGGTATTAACATTTGGGCCGAACCATCAATCTCATGGGCCACTTGCTCGACAAGTGAAGCCCAGAGAGATCTCTCTCCGTGTCGCGTTGGCAAGCTCACTACTGCCCACGTGGCATTGTCGCATCTACCAAAATAAACCCGGTCGAAAATGCCTTGCCGCCCCCAAATTAGCTCCCTTCTTTATGTAATCGAAAGGGAAGAAATCTCACAGGGCTTTTACTCTTTTAGGGTTCTTATCAGTTTCAGCAAATCAGGCGACGATGACGAGAAGCAATCTCGCACGCTTATTCTCCAAATTGCCCTCCTCCTCCCCATCAACCCCTGCCGCGTCCCGCGCCAGATCCGATCCGGCGGTTAGCTCGCTCCGCAGACTCGTGAGCTCGACGACGACGACGACTCAGCAATCCAAGCCGCGCGAGGAGGAACCGCCGAGCAAGATTTCAGATCCGGAGGCTGAGAACGAGAAGGGATCGAAGGCGGAAGTAGAAGGAGAAGAGGGTGAAGATGGCGAGGACGAGCTTGACCTGAACAAAGATACGGGCGAGATCGGCGGGCCCAGAGGTCCCGAGCCGACTCGGTACGGCGATTGGGAGCGGAACGGCCGCTGCTACGATTTCTGAGCCTCGATCTAGAACAGTCGGAATTTTAAATTTACCATTATATCCCTCCTCTTGTTGAGGTTATGTTTAATCGAGGATTAGTCAGATTTCTCAAGTTTGATTTGAATAATTGGTGTTTGGGTTTAACTGTTTATATAAAAAAATGGCGGGTTTGTTTTGCCCGCCGGCGGTGGCAGATGGCTTTTTTTTTATATTTCCTTTCAGCGTGGGCCTTTCCGGATTGTGTTTGTGGGCTGAGCCCAAATTTGACCCGATGTGTTGAAAGCTCTAATATACGAGAATTTGACACTCGGTTTACATTAATCTGACCATCCTATCTGGCTATCTATGAGTGGGCAACCATACCGGATTGAATTTTCAACTAGATTTTGATTGAACATTATTATCAAATCAAATGACACCAAACATGAATTTGATCGACTTATAATCTTTATCTTTCCTTTGCTTTTGATTCGTTTGTATTCCGATCAATTTGAATTTGATCGAGTTCTAATCTTTATCTTTTCTTTGATGTTAATTTTGTTTGTATTCCAATTCGATCTACACCAAATATGAATTTGATCGAGTTATAATCTGTATCTTTTCTTTACATTTGATTCGTTTGTATCCTGCTTTGATCTAGTTCGGGATCAAATCGACTAATGTGCACTTCTAATCATATTATTTTAAATTAGATTAATCAAACACTTCATTTATCCACAGCTTATCCAAATCGCACGCAAATTCTTGGTAGATAGTGTAATAAATTCCGACAACTTGGAAATTCCAAGTCAATCAAACGAGGTGGAATACGTCGAACAAAACAGCAAATGAGATGGTGACGGGGTAATGAAAGTCCAATCTCGGAGCTTTTTAAAAATCCACGAAATTTCCCATCGCTGTTTACTGTATTTAGTCTTGAGCTATTAGATGTACTAACCCTTGACTGGACTTCATATTACTAGTTAGTAAATAGCAGCCAGTCAATTAAGTTTGGTCACTCAACTATGCAAAATATGTTCCTCCATTTGACAAGAATCGGTTAATTTTGGTTAATTTCAATAATGTGAGTTGTTCGAAAAATGCTGATTATGAATTTTATATCACTCTCTAAAATGTTCCTTCGAAAAAAAGTCGGCCACAGGGTTGAAGTTGCACAAGCCTACCATACCTTGAGCTTAGATCATTTGTTAATATTGGGGATCGTGGAGATTCGAACATGTCATAAGCCGTCTGGTTCCAATAACCCCGGATGTTGAGAGATATTTAATAATGAATCTTATATACCACATACTAACATATCCCCTCAAACTCAAGTCACTCCATTAGTCTTGAAGTTTGCACAATTAGAAAATGGGATCGTCATGATTCGAACAGAAAACCTCTTATCACGGACGGCTCTAGTATCATGTTAAAAACCAATTGGTCTCAACTCTCTCAAGTGTTCAAATTGTTTAGCTATACATTGGCCGTAGAGAAGAATGGTGGTCAAAGTGTTCAAATTCCATAGTCGTCTCTCCTCTGAAAGCCTTCTTTATCGTTTATCTTTGAATGTAAACAGTAGTTCCTGTAATCTTTCGTTGTAGTCATTTTTTTGTAATCAAAATCTACACGATTCTAATTCAAATCTAAATATCTAATACATAACCGTCCTAATCCCACATTTAATTCGGTCTAACCAACCAATTTATAGTCCAACAACACCTTGACAATATGTGTTGATTCAGTTTGATATGTGAAGTTTCCAATACATCATGGTCCCATCCTAGCTAACATCAAACCAAACAAAGTATTCCTTTGAAATCTCTGCCCTCATCCCTAATAAAAGGGATACGTTAATGGAAATAGTGGGAACGGTTGACCATGTAAAGGAATCTACCAATGCTCTTAGTGCATCACCAAACCAAACTGACCAAGTCCCATAATGCTTCAAACCCATCATTACATATCACAATAGTCATCTTCGAGCCCATGTCACTTACCCCCCACCCACCTACAAGTCAACTCCCCACAAACCATCTCCAGTCACTCACTCTTTGTACATTGTAGCAGGAGTGTGCAACGATTCGGATTAAACTAGGTTGTTTTTTCTATAATATAAACCGAACTCGTTATGAGCTTATCAATTTTCGGTTAACGGTTAAGTTTCTGTTAGAACCGATCGAAAACAAACACCACTACTACTCAAAACTGAAACACTCTACACCTCTATCGATTTACGATATAAAAAAAGAAACCGATAACATCCGGTTTCGATTTAAACCGAAAACATTATATCCGATTCGGTTCAATCTAATGCCGACCAAACCGTTCCACACGCCTATGGCAAATTTATATCATTCTATTCCTTTCCCTTGCACAAAACGCACTCCTTCACTTTCTCAGTTTCTCTCTCTCTCTCTCTCAACAAAATGAGAAACTCCATGATCTTTTCCCTCTTCCTCGTAACAACCATCACCACGCTCGCCGCCGCGGTGGCAGCCGAGGAGCAGCCGCACCGCCAGCAAGATCCGCCGCCGCCATCTCAATGCCCGGCCCAGACATCCTCCTCGTTCTGCGGCTCGACCGGGGTAACCATCCGGTTCCCATTCTGGATCCGGTCGACCCAGCACCCGGACCGGTGCCGCGGCTACAAAGGGTTCGACCTCACCTGCGGTCCCAACAACGGCCAAACCCTCATCACCCTCTCCCCTGAAACGGCGCCGTTCGTCGTCCACGGCGTTGATTATTCAACTCAGGAGCTCTGGGTCAACGACCCGGGCGACTGCCTCCCCGGCCGGCTGCTCTCCCTCAACTTCTCGACCTCTTCGTCGCCATTTAGGGGACTTTACGATCAGACCTACACGTTCTTCAATTGCTCGGGGGATTACTCGAGCTACCCCGGGATGAACCCGATCGCGTGTCTCAGCGGCGGCGCATGGGGAAGAGGGGAGTACTCGGTGTTCGCGTCCTCGTCGGGGAGGGCGATCGCCGGGCTGAGGCGGCGGCCGTCGTGCCGGGTGGTGGCGGCGGTGGAGGTTCCCGTGGAGTGGCCTTTCTACGAGCAGGTGCTGTCGTCGGATTTGAGCGCGGATCTCCGGCTGACGTGGGACTCGCCGGACTGCCGGCGGTGCGTGGTGCGCGGCGGGAGGTGCGGGTTGAAGGGGAGCGATGGTGGCGTTGGCTGTTTCGACGTCACTCAAGGACGACGCGGTAACTCCTCTGTTTTTTATTCAGTTTTGCCAAAAGTTTTCGAACTCTATATGAGATTTTTTCTAAACACAATTCAAGCATAAATTTTTTTGGATGCATCAATTTGATATACGGGGAATTTCGAATTCGATTCGTTTTAAAGCAATTAAAATTTTATAGGGTGGAAGGAGATAAAATCGAATTGACTCGTTTTTTTAAATGATTCGTTTTGTAAATTAGTCAAATTATCTCGTTTTTCGTTTGATCTGTCCAAACGACTCCTATAAATTCTTCCTCTGCCAATTATCAAACGGAAAACCTAACCGTTAATTTCTTAATTCTTTGGGTTTGGTCGAGAATTCTAACGGGTTAATTTGGCTCAATTCTCAATCTGATAGAATTGACACAAATTAACATGTTTTGACATCATAAAATTGGAATTAAACAATTTAGCCTCGATAGTTTCTAATTTGACTAGTTGGAGACAATTAGGTATGAAAGATAATTCGAAAGGACTCATTTGGTAAAACAAACCGTTGATCAAATTATTACATATTCCAATTGATCCATGTAAAGGATCTCTTACTCTCTCCTCTCTTTCTTTCTTTCTTTTTTATTGTTTAACTTTATTTTGATTTATAATTTGTTAAGAAGAAAAACTAGGCGAAACTCCACATAACAACCATCCCAAAAGAAAAATATTGGACACATGCATCAAACAAGAATGTAAGTTAAAGGGAAGTCATTGGTAAGATTACAATACCATAGCTTATACATCAACAATAACAATATGCACATAAAGTAATTTAGGTGATCATTGTATGTTTGGTTGTACCATTTTCCTATATTCACCATATCTTTGTCCTTAACGCTAATATTCATATACTAAATCCAGCATTGGGACCGTGTTCTTCCATATGTATGAATGTTCACGGCAATTTACAAGCCTTTTCCTTATTCTAACTTAAATCATATTCATCACATTTTTATTGAAATTTTGAATTAGAGAAGCTTTAACAATTTAAAATCTGTTTTAGAAGTTCACTTTCTGATTCTAACAACATTGGAACCGGTTTGCTGCTCCACAATACCCGGTCCTTTTTTTGCTTTAGTGGCTCACTTTGTGATTCTTCTCATATGAATATACAACTCCGATCTATTATTAGAATTTGCTTAATTGTTCACACTCTTAAGTTTAAATTATGGATCGACAACATGAACAAGATATAAACTACGAGAATTTGTCACATAAAGTATTAATACCTTAAAATGTACAATGAGTTGTGTCTTCGAGTACATCCAATCAAATGTATAATCAAGGTTCGAGACTGCGATGCGTGCAAGGCGGGCTTTGGGGCATCGCCTAAGCGAGTGCCTAGACGCTTGAAGCAAAATAAATAGCAATTTGTACTATATGATGAATGAAGTAACAATTAACAACACTTTTTCACTTCATTTCAAATGATTAATAACTTTAGTAACACTTAACGATATGGAAAATTAGCTCACGAGTTTATAGAATCATAGCTTAATAGCACACAAAGTTTCTTCTGTTGTTGACATAGAAGACCGATCAGGTTTGTAGATAGTGTTACTTTCTCGATATCGAGTGGCTAGCTCCATCTAGCTAGTTATGCATATGTGACACCTAGGTAGCACATTACACTGTCAATATGTTCTTGATACCTAACTTATCACGAAAAACTTAAACGAGACATTTAATTTGGTGTTGTCTAGTGTCTAGACGTGTCTAAATTTAAGTTTACTCGCACTTTTTTTTTAATTCAAGCTTAAACTTTTTTTCTTAATAAAAGATAAAAAGAGTGCCTATTTGCTGAACTTCGTTACATGCATATGTCGATTGGCAGGACTCCCCGCGCCGGCCCGTTACGCCATAACAATCGGCGTCGGAATCCCTCTCTTCCTCTTCAGCCTCGGCGCATTGTGCTGCATCTGCCGCAGGGTCAAGCGTTGCGCCACCACAACACCACCCACCTCCTCCTCCTCCGCCGCCGCCGACTACCAGCACAATCTCCGGCAGCTCCATCTCGCCGTCGCCGCCGCTGCTCCGCCGACGTCCATATCCGCCGGTGGGCTAGACCGGAAAACGATCGAATCGTACCCGAAGATAGTATTGGGGGAGAGCCGGCGGCTGCCGAAACCAGACGAGAACACGTGCGCCATCTGCCTGTCGGACTACTGCCCGAAAGAGACGCTCAAAACGATACCGGATTGCGGCCATTGCTTCCACGCGGAGTGTATCGACGAATGGCTGAAACTGAAAGGGAATTGCCCCATCTGCCGGAATTCCCCCGAGCCGGTGGTCTCGTTTGCGGTTCCGGTTCAAGCTTGGTCTTAGTAGATAGCTTGGGTGTATGTTTTAGTGTCTCAATCTCTATTTCATCAATTGGTCTATGGACTATGATGTACTCCTTTATGTATATACTATCTAGCTTTTTATGGTCCGTCCTTAATCGTAAAATTTCTTTTACTATTAAACCGCAATTCTCATTCTGCGACCATACTGAAATATGCCACTCATATAAGAAAAGAAACCAACTATAGAAAGAGTTCATACATCTCTTAGAAGATGTGTGGCAGTCCGATGGTAGGAAAAATCCTTCTTGAGTAGCCATCAACAGCAACAAACCATTCTGAACCCGCACCTCCCATCAGCAGATTAACTTGGTTGAAACAGGGGTCCTCTGTTATCATCGAGTACACCAACAGCATTTAGCAGCTGAAAATCGCTTTGATGCTGCCTAGGGTGTGAAGTTGCTGATCTGTTGTTCATCCTTCTTCTGGTGACCAGAGTGATCAACACCCTCAACAACTGGTTGACATTCTTCTGTCGGTCCAGCAGTCCACACCATAAAATGAGACAAAGGTTGAGGTTAGAAACTAGACAGGTGAAGGAATAAAGAGAGGGAACAGCAGCCCCAGCGCATCCTACAGTTCAGATTACAAGCTAGGGCACAGTAGGCTTTGCAAACACAACAAAGTTCTCTATGAAGTTAGCATGACTGCTGCCCCTATCCTGTTAAGGGACATGATGTGGTTGCAGTAAGGATGCTTCATTTCGAGGAGAAAATTTCCCTTCTAACTGAATTGTTCTCATTGCTGAATTCCTAAAACCTGAAAATTCTGACAAGTTTGAGTACTTACAAGTCGTGTTGAGGGAGAGAGCGGTCGTAGCTTTGCTGCTTTGTTGAACCCAACAGTTGTAGCTTCCATCGTACATGCCTCGCAGTTTCTCATACCCTGGAATTGGGGTGGGCCAGCAAAAGATCTTAGGCTGGAACACCATCCAAGTAGGTTGAGGGGTATCGAAGAACCCCAGCTCCCGGCTCCTCAAATTGAAGAACAATATATTCGGGCCATTAAGACCACGATGTAGTACGAAGACGATTTCTGGCTTCCCTGGATGCAAACCAAGTACAGTACAGTTCTTAACTTCATAGTTACACCTTGATGTCGACGTCGTCTTCAACAACCACCATTCATGTTGCTTCATCCAAGTTCTACGGTCATCTTTCAGTCTCAAAACATGCAAGACGGCAGGAAAAGCCACACCTTTAAGTACAACTAAGTAACAAGTACCTTGGGAGACAGAAATATTCCACTGCCACCCTAATAAGCGTTCAGAAATACGGAAACGAGCGGGTGGGACATCAAGGTGGAAAGGGTTAAGACCAAATAATACCACCCTGCCAGTATTAGAGCATCTACAACACCAAAACAGCTCCCCATTGCAGGAAATAACATTCTTGTGCACTAGTTGATGATCATCAAGAACAAGAGCCTCCTTGGTCCATTTCCCTGACTCTGAACAAAACACGTCTAGTTTTATAGACGTCGTGTGTTGATACAAGCACACCACCAGGAACCGATAATCAGAATAGAGAAATGTTTTCCCATTTCCTAGATCAAGATTGCAAGAACTACTACTACGGGGTTCACATACTAACCTAGTGACCGATTTCGTAGAACCAATCGGCTTTTCTGGCGCTATAGGAAGTGCGACCCATTGTTCTGTAAACGGATTACAGACAAAGAAAGACCTGACAAGTTCGCCACTAAAAAGGGATCCTGCAGACCCAATTAACTCCTCAAGCCCACATAGAATCAAGTCCTTGAAGGAATCAAAAACCAGGAAACGGAAATACCATCTGCGGCTAACTTCATCAGGCACGGGGAGAAAGCTGAACACATGATCCCGGGAGTAGGAGAACATCAGAGGTGATTCGCCTTCGCCTCCATTTATGCTCTGGTGGTGAGAAACGAATTGGCGATTGAAGCAAGGATCGGATATGAGAGAGTTCCACTGCTTGCAAACCAGTTTGCAGCGGCAGGCCAGTTTCGGGTTTGGGAAGCTGCGAATCAGAATTTCTACGAGGATATCGTCTCCTAGATTGTTAATGAAAGAACGTCGTTTTTTGGAGGAGCAAGAGGGAACAATTGTGTTTACCGGCACATCCACAGCTGAGTTGCAGTTCTCAGTTACCATGGAAGGAAGTAAGGTAGATACTGACATCAGAGTAGGAGAAAGGATTAGTCCAGTAGCATAAGAGGTCGAAACTGGTGCATTATCTCCATCAAATTCCCACTGCAACTCTTTAAACTCTTCAATTTGAGCATCAAACACATATCTTTCTTCTTTTAATTTCTCCATTTCCTCCCATTGAGCCTTAACCTCGTGAGCCAAAACTCGTTTCTCTTCCCACAAACCTAGCATATCGGCCTCAGCCTTGTAAAGCTCATCATCTGAGTTCGCCATCCTGAATGTTCTTCCTGTTATGCAATGGAAACCTTTGAGAAATTTCTCAAAATAGCAAATTCGCAGAGTCCCCATAACAAGTAGACCTAGAGTGGTAACTGCAGTAGAACTATCATACTTCAGATACCCTCCCATCAATTCCATTAACTCGCACTCTTACACCATTAATTTGGTCACTCACCTGAAGCCAAGAAAACCCACTAAAAGAAAGCACAGAACGAATCAATACAAAATAACAGCATCAAGGTCACTACGCGTAATATATAACTCACTATCCAGATGAGAAAATCTTTCAAGGAAGAAGAATCGACAAAAAAACCCGATCTCAAACTAGAACAAACTGGTGTGACTTGGATTAGGATCCCAATGTCGAACTACACAATCAAAAAAGTTAGGTCAAGTTGTTCGGCACCAAGTTAATTGGTTTGAACTGGCGTGGAAGCCCTTGGGGAACCCTAAAATCAATTGATTGCATGGCTAATCAAGAAGATGTAAGAGCCGCTAGCCTACTGAGACATTCAACCTGAATGGAGACTCTAGCGTACCTCTATTCTCCGAGGAAGACGATTTCAGGAGCTCCAATGGCTATCAGAACAGCGCGGCCGGAGCTGACGGATTATTGGAATTTTCGGTTTGAATGGCGGGAAGCCTCTGGGCTCGACGTTAATGAGACGACGAGGATTTATATAGGTAAGGCAAGAGAGTGTGAGGATATTTCCGTCATTCCCCAAGGAAATAAATTTTTTTCCTAAGCATTCGTAAAACATTTGGATTTTATCCACTGGGCCGGAGGCCCAATTATCAGCAAACCGGCGGTTTGTCCTTGGTAGTCGTTGGGCCTCAATGTCGATAAGAGATATAACTAGTGTACATTGTCAATTTTGTAATCGCTTTTCAATTTCCTTATAACCAAAAGAAAAAATAAAAAAACGATCGCCACTTTTGTTGGAGCCTGAAATACGAAATGCCCACCACATGCTCGACGGTTTGCCGCGAAGAAGAACACATTCTTCCTGAACTTCATTCTTCAGAAATGGCTTCCAATTCCAGAGCAATCCGGTTCCCTTTCGCTACCCCTTCCATCTTCCCATCACCCGCCGAAGAAAACGGGTTCGGCGGCATCGAGAGACCTTCACCGTCTCCTTCTAGCATCTGAAGGACAGCCGTCATCGAAGGACGATCCGCCGGGTACCATTGAATGCACCACAGGCCAGCAATGGTGAGCTTCCTCACAATCTTGGCGTCTCCTTCTTCCTTGATCCGAATCCGAAACTCTTCCCCTTTGTCCAAATGCTCGTAAACCCATTCAGGGAAGTAGACCTGGCGCAGGCCGCCATTCACATCGGCTTCTTCGTTGTTCTTCCTCCCTCCAACCATCTCCAGCAGAAGCATACCGAAGCTGTACACGTCTGATTTGTACGAGACATTGCCGAAGTTTCTGGAGAAAACCTCCGGAGCTATGTATCCCATGGTCCCTCGAGCCGCGGTCATGGTGATGGCGCTCTGGTCCTTGGCGCAGAGCTTTGCCAGCCCGAAATCGGCTATTTTAGGGTTGAAATCGTGGTCGAGCAGGATATTGTGCGGCTTGATGTCGAAATGGAGGATTCTCTGGTCGCATCCTTGGTGCAGGTATTCAATCCCTTTCGCTATCCCTAGCGCGATTTCGTGCAACCTCTCCCAGCCGAGGCTGTGAATGTGAGATCCATTACCGCCATCAGTGGCGGAGAAGATGAACTTTTCTAGGGATTCATTGGGGAGGAATTCATACACCAGAGCTCTTCTGAATCCATCCGCGCAATATCCTACCAACCGGATGACGTTGACATGGTGGATTCTTCCCATGGTTCCTACCTCGTTGATGAACTCGTCACCATTCTTGGCTACAGTTGAGCTGGTGAGGATTTTGACAGCAACATGGATTTCCCTGGAGAGCCTGCCTTTGAACACTGTACCGTAAGCTCCCTCCCCCAATTTATCCTTGAAATTGTTTGTGATCCTCTTTAGATCAGCATATGAGTATCTTGCTGGCTTCATAGCTTTGTAGTCTGCTAGGAACTTCTCTATCTTGGCCTGGTTTTCCATCTCGATTCTGTTTGAATGGTACATGTAGAATGAGACACCAACCCCCACTAGCAGCAGAAAAACTCCAACAACAATCACTGCTATCATGATCTTCCTGCGGCCTATAAACAGTGGAATGGGAAGTGAGGGATATGAATAATGTTACCGTCAGCTTACCCAAATTACTGGGTTAGAGAAATCAGAAGAAAGGCTACTTCTCCTCAATCATACCTTGATTTCCCTTTGGCGGAACGTAGCATTCATATCCAATTGAGCTGTTCGTCGTCGATCTACACCTCTGGCCTTGAGCTTCACAAGCTCCACACCCTGGTTCTGTCCAGTTCAAATGCAGTGTATTGAATGGGGGATTCACTACTTCATCTGGAATCAATAAACTGGTGTACATCTTGGTGCAAGAAGACAGGGGCAAATTATCGATACTTATGAGACTATTGAAGGCATAAACATCGTAGAAGCCCGGAGTACTCAGGCAGGGTACTTGGTTGAACAAGTTTCTCTCCACAGCTGAACAGTTGAAGAAGACATACCCCACTCCAAAAGTGGACAACCCTTGGTATCGGAATGGAGACGTCGACAGATTGAAGTTTCTAGCCTGTCTTGCAAGGCAGCCATTAGGGTCAACAGTTACGATGCTCTGGGATGTGTAGTCAATCTTCTGGATGTAAAGCTTCACTGAATTTGGTAGCTCGAGCACCGTCTGCTGCATCTCGTTGCAGGTTAAATCAAACCCGGGATAACCACAGGTGGCCGGCTGCCTGTCTTTTAGCCTGAACGGGTATCTGATCTTCGGACCGTGGCGACCGCATCTTGTTTCCTGGCAGTAGGTAAGTCCTCGCCCATGGTGGGCGAGTGCTAGCACGAGCAGGCAAACAAAAGGAAGATGCTTCTTCAAGAGATTATCCATCTAAGCGCAACGGCAGATATGGGTTTTCAGTCTCCTCTGAATTTTAGAGAGATGTACATGTATGGCAGTGAAGAATGGTCGGAAATGGTGGTAGTTCTGGATGAGGTTGCTACTTGCTAAGGTCAAATGAAGGCTCTGCAACTTTGGAAAAGTCATGGTCAACTTCCAACTAGGAAAGATGGGCCAAGTATGGGTAGAAGTAGAAGTCAAAGAGTCTTTGAATCATTCGCTACAAAACAGCTAGAGGAAAAAAGTGGGCTTCTTTGAGTCTGATACCAAGAATGAATTCTCACTTCCAGAAAGGTTGAGTCTACTTTCAGCACATTTGACTTGGTCCGTAAAGTTTGAAATTCAGGGCGGTCTCATTTGTTCATCTTTGACCATAGATGTTTCAGTTTTTGGATCTTAACCTAACACCAATAGGATAAGGCTTGCTTTCTTTCTGTTATTTCCCTTTTTTTCACATCCAAAAGTGGGGAATATATGGGATATGGCTGCGTTGAAGTTCTTCACGTTAACCGATCTCTCTGTTGTGCTGCTTTTAGTTCTCGTCCTTCTCCAGATATGCAGCGCCCAGAACAGGCATCGATGTCCTCCTTCTTCCTGCGGCAACATCCCAATCAACTACCCTTTTCGGCTAAGAGGCGATCCAGAGCACTGCGGCTATCCTCTTTACGAGCTGGTCTGCGAGAACAACATCACAGTGCTATACATCTCCGAAGGCAAATACCACGTTCAAGCAATTGACTACAACAAAGTGACAATTCGACTCGTCGATGCCGCCGTGCAGAAGGACAACTGCTCTACAATCCCTCGTCACTCTCTGCTCAGACCCAACTTCACTGCTGCAAGTCCCTTCAACTGGATCGGGTCGTACAACGAACAACCCAGGGTGGCAACGTTTATGAAGTGCCTCAATCCTGTGAAGAAGGAAGATTTTCCTCGTTATGTGGACACTGCTCCTTGTGTGAATGGGACATCGTATTCTTATGTGATGCTTGGAGGCGATTTGACGGATGTAGGGGATGCCTGCACGGTGGAGTTGATAGTTCCATCTTCACTGCCCATCAGGGGCAATGTCGGCAATGTTTCGTTCCTCGACGTGCATAATGACTTGGTCGATGGGTTTGAGCTTGTTTGGTATCAAGTTGCGTGTATAAGTTGCAGAGGGGCGGAAGTGTGCTATTTGCTTAGTGGGTCTACCCCAGACTGCTCTGCATCTACGGAGACCTTCTTCTATTGGATCAACTACACTTTCACATGTGAGTTAAATTTCCCAGTTTTGTGGTGCTCTAATCTCTACTGAAAAGCTATAACTGTGCCCATTGTCCTAAGTAGGAGGCTATCCACACTGACAAACTTTGTGCTAGTTAAGCGGAGAGGATTACCACAAAAGAACTAGGAGGCTGCCTGTGTTTGTCAACTGATCAACTAAGTATCTATATAATGTTTACCAGACAGAGATCCGAAAGGATTCAAAGAGAACATGATTGTGCTAGACCCAAGAAACTCTCTCTGTCACTTAGTTTAGGTGGGATTAAGATAATTTCTTGATTGAATATCGCATCTTAATCGACATCTTACAACTTTCTTGCCTTGCAGATCAGCGCTTGCTCATATTGCTGGTCATTGGTAAGCACGTAGTTCCTTCTCTTGCCTCTATCAATATTTCATCAAGTCAGATAAGTCACTTTGGGTGGAGAGTGACAAGTTTTAGCTGTAATTCTCTGCCTTCACAGGAGTAATAGTCGTGGCCAGATTGATATTCCTAGGCCCTTGTGTGTTGGGATTCGTGATCTTCAGATGGAGGAGGAGACACTTATCGATGTTCGAGGGCGTAGAAGAGTTCCTCCGGAGCCAGAACAACTTCACTCCAGTGAGATACTCTTACTCTGACATCAAGAAGATGACGAATAACTTCAGGGACAAACTAGGACAGGGAGGGTACGGGTCCGTCTACAAAGGCAAGCTCCGCAGTGGCCAGTTTGCTGCAATCAAGCTACTACTGAGCAACGACTCCAAAGGAAACGGGCAAGATTTCATCAACGAAGTCGCCACCATAGGAAGGATCCACCACGTCAACGTGGTCCGCCTTGTAGGCTACTGTGCCGAGAGGTCGAAGCGGGCCCTCGTCTATGAATTCATGCCAAATGGCTCCCTCGACAAGTACACTTCTTCATATGGAGGAGCTGATGGCAATGTCATTCTGTCCTGGAACAGGATGTTCAAGATTTGCTCGGGCGTCGCCAGAGGTATCGAGTACCTCCATCGTGGCTGCGATATGCAGATCCTGCATTTCGACATCAAGCCTCACAACATCCTCCTTGATGAAAACTTCACTCCGAAGGTCTCGGATTTCGGCCTGGCGAAGCTCCGTCCTGCAGCAAGCGACAACACCATGTCACTCACCGCAGCCAGAGGAACCATCGGGTACAATTTGAAGCAAAAGTCAGTTGGGTAGTCGAATTGTGGATGGATTACTTATCTTGAACTTATCAATTGCAGGTACATTGCTCCGGAGTTGTTCTACAAGAACATTGGACGTGTCTCGTATAAGGCCGACGTGTACAGCTTCGGGATGTTGCTGATGGAGATGGCGGGAAAACGGAAGGGTCCCACGAACCCTGTGGATTCGAGTGGGAGCTACTTTCCTAACTGGGTTTACAACCAAGTGGTTTCTGGAGAAGTGGAAAGCGGCGAGACTACGACGACGACAACAACAGAAGACGAGAAGGTAGTGGCTAAGAAGATGGTGATGGTCGCATTGTGGTGCATACAGATGAAGCCAGAGAATAGGCCTTCGATGGGCAGAGTTGTGGAGATGCTTGAAGGTGACTTGGAGACCCTGCCATTGCCTCCTAAGCCTGGTTTATATCCAGATGCAACGCCGGTGATCGGAGAAGAGGGTTATTCCGATGAATCGTCGTGGTCGTCTTCCCTGTACTCCGATGAAACGATCAGTTTGGTTACGAGTTCGGAGTGATGGCATTTGGGTGGCTTTGCTGGTTTTGTGTTGTTGTAAATGCTCTGAATAGAACTTCTGCTTTTGTTTTCCTTCACGCCATAGAGAAGCTTAGGAAAGAGATGTGTGCATAGTTTGTTAATTGGAGTTATTTGTATATTTTAGGGTTTCTTTTTCAAATTAGTATTCGACTTTGAAACTTGCAATTGTATATGGTTTATGTTTCATGTGGATTTGTAAGACTTTTTGATTTTCAATACATGGTGTTATTTCTATATTTTGTGTTTTATGTATTCCAATTCCTCTCCATAGAAAGGCTAGACTTATTTAACCACATCACAATTACTTTACATATAAAAAATACTTTTTGCTTCGCAATAAAAATTTGCTCTTCGCTTATTTTATCTCTTCCAAAATGCTTACTTGTATATATTTGGAGAAGAAAAATCGTGAATTTTTTTTTATACTATTGTGATCGTGAGATTATGTATGTTATTTCATTAATTTTCAAATATCATACCGTGAAAATTTTTAGCATTTTCACAACTCGCTATAGCCTCTAGGCTCATTTTCATTCTCACACCACAAATTAGTTAGCTAAACTAGGAAAACACAAAATCTCTATGCACCACGATTAAAAATACTTTTTGACGTTTAACATGGACTATGTCCTGTCTCTATCCACACTCAACTCAACTCAACTAAGTAGTCCACAAATCACAATTAGGTTAATTAATTACCCCACTCACCAATTTTGGACGTCTAATTTGTTTCTTATGTTGAATTCTTTCTCGTCTTTACATTTCCCTACAATTACAACAACGTAGCGCTAAGGATAAACAAGGGAGGGATTAATTAACGTATATCCAAATAAATAATTAGAAACCCATATTAGGACGAAGAGGAATCACTACAATCAACCAAATAAAACCTACAACTGCAAAACCACTCGCTATATAATGACGCCGGAAACGCTAGATCTCATCGCCGGCCGAATTACATTTCTGATTTAAAGATCTCTATAATAAGTCACCCGAATTTCTCGAACAATTGGTCGCTCAGTTTCACTTTCCCCACCGAGTATATAGGATGGCTGGAGGAGACCACCCGACGGAAATCAGCCCGCTCATGATCGGAATCCTCGGGATGCTTGCCGGAGCAATCGCCGTCGCGACCTACCACTGCATCGCCGTCGGCTGCTACCAAATTCACCCACCCGATTCCCCGCAGAATGATGCGGCGGTGGGAGATCAAGAGAACGACGAAGAAGCGAGCCGGAGCCGGAGCACGGCGAGCAGCAACAGCAACTCGTCGGCGGCGCTGATTCCGGTGGTGAGGTACAGCAAAGAGCGGAGCCTGGAGGCGGCGGCGGCGGGCAGCACTACTGCTACCACGTGCTCGGTCTGCCTGTCGGATTTCACCGAAGGGGAACCGGTCCGGGCGCTTCCGGTTTGCTCGCACGTGTTCCACGTGGCGTGCATCGACAGGTGGCTTCTGTCGCACCCGAACTGCCCCGTCTGTCGGGCCAACACGCTGCCCGTCCCGCACGTGGCGCTGACCGTGCCGGACCGGGGAGGGGACGGATTCGAACCGAGGGAGGGGAGTCGGGCTGCGGGGGGAAGATCGGTTGGTTATTTTGTTGCCTGATCGATTGGGTTTGAGCGGGAGCTAACATATCCTAATTGGGTACGTAGATGCAACTAATTGGTTTCTGGAAAAGCGAAAAGCAGAGGAACTACGACGACGACGGAAGATGAGAAGGTGATGACCGTGGCATTGTGGCTTCATACAGATGAAGCTGAAGAATCTCGAAGGTGATTTGGAGATCCTGTCTATGCCTCCCAAACCAGGTTTATCTCCAGATGCAACTCCGGAGAAAACGGTTATTAAAATCAGTTCGGTCCGCCCAATCTCAAATCAGTTTGACCTAATTGATTCAATTCCGTCCAATTTTCACCATAACAATACTTTATTTATGCATATCGCTATAGTTTTCTATGAATTTTGTATCGTAATATCATAATCTTCTATTTTAGACAAATTGTATATAAAAAGCTATATGGTTATGTGTAATTGTATATGGTAGGGCATTGTTGTAGTCCGTCTTCAACAGAATTACTAGCTTATAACTCGGCCCGTTGGCCGAATAACATTATGCATGTTCATATTTGATTGTTTATATTTATTAGAAACACGGTCCATTAATGAAACAAATCATAGAATCCAACACTGGACCATAAGTGCATTCGATCTGGTGGGATCCAATGAAGTTCGTTCGAAATGTCTCATCGGAACATTTTTCTTTTGAACTTGTATGATTGGTAGGATGAAGGTCCAAGAAATATAGATTCAATTCGATATGGTTTTTGTCAAAGCTGTGTTGCGTCTAGTGTGGTTTGAGGTTGACCATCAAAACTTGAGAGCAAATGACAAAATTAGAGTTACATCCAATATACTAATAGATTCGATCAAGTAATGAGGCACAAAATTAGATACTCCTTATCTACAGGTTCCAGTAGTTTGAATAGTGAATCGACCTTAACTTTAGTAAATCAGTCAATGATTCCTCGTTTTAAAATAAACATAGGTTGTGGTAGTTACAACAACCATAACACCTAAAGATCCAATAGTTTCCACTCTCCGTTGTACAACCAACTTTTTATCCCTCCATCTTCAAGCTCTCGACGTATATGTTTTAAACCAAAATTCAATTCTAATCCTCCTTCTGCAACTTCATTTATGCTACTTTGATGGACCTTCTCTCCATGAACCTGAATTTCTCTATCAATTGAGTTTCTTGTCAGCTTGATCTCCAACTCCTCAATCCTTTTTCTTGTATATGGCCAACTCATCTTCCTCGGGGCAGTTTTAATAAGCTCGTAAAACCAGCACTCATCTTCAATTCCATCAACATGCTCTTCTCCTCCTTCTCTGCCTTCACCTATCTAGTTCACTTCCATGCCCTTCAATACCCTTTCATTTTCATTAATATCCTGGTCATCTACCACTTCTCTCTCTTCAACTGCTCCGATTTTGCTTCTATGTCTTTTAATACCCTCCTTAGTTCAATCACTACCCTGACCAACTGCCTCTTCACTGCCTTCACTTGCTGCAAACTACTTCCATGACTTTTTATACACCTTCCTCAAAATCACAATCAACTACTAATATCAATCCATGGCCTTGGATCAGTTTTAAACTCTCTATGAACATCTCAATACCACAAAGTCTAAATCTAAATATTCTTTCACTTAATCATGAACTTGAGTTTATCAAAATCTAATCCACTCCTTCTAAGTTGGAATTCCCATTCCCCAAACTCATTTTTGGTTCATTTGGTCCCACATAACCATGATATTATACCTCTAACTAAAATAAATCAAAGCATTTTACGAAAAGAAACCGAACCATGAACTTTACCTACTACCAAATCCAAACACAATTTCTTCCTCTCACCACTTCCCTACCCAAACCCAATATCAACTTTTACTCCAAGTTCACACCCCCAACTCCCAGTGTGTTGCGTGAAGCTTAATTTTAGCAATCATTATGCTTGCAATTAGATTAATGGACACCAGCAAGCGCCAAAATTCCACCAGACGATGAGTTGTCTTCACTTTGAGTTTTGTCATAAAACTGCTGGCCCGATATGTTTATCAGTTTGGAGGCCATATGATGAGCAATACCGAATCAGTTGCAGCGAAGTTACCGGTCACAGTAATGACAATGTGAAACATGTGTTAACAAACGCGAATATGAGTTACTTTTATGGATTGACATTAGAATGATGGGATTGGACAATAAGATCGTCTTCAGTTAAGCGACATGTAAATTGGTTCATTTGGTATGGAGGACACAAACGTTAAAATTCTAAATTATTTGGGTGAGTTTGTATTTAGTGTTTTCAAAATCGTGGTATATGAGTTAGGTGATTAAAATATCTAAACCCAAACGAACCGACCCACGTACACCCCTAGGAAGAGTTTCAAAACTTAGTATTTAACCGGACAAAAATGTTCAGAGAACTCCCCTATAGTTTGCACAAAGATATGATTGCTTCACTATAGTTCTGGAAATTAATGGTAATTTAAGAATTCTATATCGCTTCTACATATTCAATACTATAATTCGATATGAAATATTCAAACCAACAATATTTTGGTTGCAAATTTATGGTTATCGTCTATTTATAAGATAGATAAAATTTTAAATTAAATATTATACTATAATTAAATAAAAAATATCAAAATCAAGTATCAAGACACCAAATAAGTACTTACGGAATATTTATTGGGCTAGCTAACTGTTGAAAAGTTATGTGATTTCATATTTTAGCTTCGTATATATTTTTAATTTAAAAAATACAACAAATCTACATAGTCTGATTGACTTTAAACCTTCACTTTGTTTGAAGTGACCATGGTTCAAATCTCAATATGTCTATTTTTTCGGTAAATAAATAAAAAATACACATAATTGTGAAGACAAAAATGTCCTTCCTAATTTCCCTCTCATTGCAGGAAATTTGAAAAGGGAGATTAAGTTTCAAATAATTAAATCATATACCCTAAATCTAGAACTTAAACCTTAATATCACATATACTAAGAAAGTAATCAATGATCCTGATTCGCCAAGATGCATACAACATGCCTTATGCACTATATTAGGATTTAGAGAATTATGATATAGGGTTTAGTTACGTGATTAATCTATGGTCTAGATAATATTATTTAACTAAGGAGATGCAATAACCCTCAATCCATCGAGCATACCATATAATTTCCAATGTTATACACATACCATTGTTTGTTAAATTAGCCAATGATAATTGGCTCATTTGTCAATGGTATTTAGTCTTTCAATTTATGCTTATAATTGTCAACCATTAGGGAAATTGTTAGCCAATGATTTTTGGTCATTCACTTATAGCATTGAAAATGTCTCGTTACAAAACCATAGATCACAAATGTCACATTTTATGTTTTGAAATAAAATTTTGTATAGCACTTTTGTAAACAATCATTGTATTCCTACAAACTACAAAGTCATGTAACCTAATAAATGTAAAAGTTGTAAAACATACATAAACTCAAAATGTACGATTTGATTCTTGGTTAAGAATTGTCTTATTAGAGGAACTCACTTAGTTGTTTCATAAAGCTGGGTATTATCATGATGATTCACTTTGTAAATAATTACAGTTATTAATTAATTCGATGATTGATTGTTGATGTGGATAGTCCTATGATTTTGAGATATTTCAGTGTTTTCTCTCTTTAATTCAAAAAATACATAAACATTGTTGTAATCAAGTTGGTTAGGGATATTGACTATCAATCTGAAGGACTTGAGTTCAAGTCTTTGTAATGACATTTTTTTTCTCGTAAGAAGATATTTAAGTTATAAGTTGAACTTACAAATTTACCCCTAGCTACAATTAAGGAGAGTGCAAGGAATTTGAAATGTTCAAAATCTCGTGAAGAACGGTTATATATTATAGAGGGATGGTATTCTCAATTATGCATTGCATCCTATGAACTATTCTGATATTTATGCAGTAACAATATTTACAATTTGCTGCCCATTAATAATATTCATATTTAAAAAAAAATATTTACAATTTGTTAAGATAATTCGAAGTTTTAGTTGATATAAAAGAGCGCCACGTGTAAAAAAATGAAGAACGGGGAAGGGAAAAAAGGAGGGTTAATGACACAAATATTGTGTTTTTTTTTAATTGCCACAAATATTGCAGATTAAAAAGAATTGACACCAATATTGTGTTTTTTAGTTAAGTTTGCGGCGGGACCACCAGAGACTCAGGCGGGGCCGATGTTTTACCCAGTCCTAGGCGCTGGCGCCCGAGTCTCCAGCGCCCCCGCCTCACCCTTGTTTTTTTTTAAATGCCGAACCCTCGGGCCCCTCCCACCTTATCTCCTCTTCTTCCCTCCTCCACACCACCCCACCCCCCGAACCAGAGAAGCAGAGCAGTCGCCGCAAGCGCTGCCGCCCAGGACAGAGGCGCCGACGCCGTAGAGTCTGGCGCCGCCGCTGCCGAGGGAAGCGCCGCCGCTGCTGAAAGAAGCGCCACCGCCCGAGATGTCCTTCGACGAAGAACCAGTCGCCGCCGGCAGAGGCAGGGGGAGAGGCCGGCAAGGTCGTGGTGGAGTCGGCGGCCGTTTGCGCGGTGAGACTCTTGTCGGCGGCTTGTTTTTTTTTATTTTTTAATGTTTTGTGTTTTTGTTTAATGTTTTGTTGCTTTGTTTTTGCAGTTCCTAGGCTTATGGATCCTTATTCGATGAGATTACCGCCAACGACAATTGATCCAAGTCCGATCGATCCGACAGTTCTTTGGGGACATGGCCAACATCGTATCGACTCTGTTTGGACAAACGAGGTAAGTATTTGATAATTATTCATGTAAAGTTAATTAGCTAATTAGATTATTTTAGTTGGTGAACTGAACTGTATTGTTAGAATAGGATTACGTATCAAATTTTTTGAAATTAGTATAATTTGATATTAGATTAGACATATTAGAATTTATTAGGCGAAATTAGAATTATTACGAATGAAAATGAATTAATATAAGTTTTGTGCACTATAGGCTGGTGATCGATCTTACCATGTTCGAGGTACGACCATTTTAGTACCTTACCATGAGCTTTATCGGCCATATCTCGAAGCGGCAGAATTATTAAGTGCCGTGCTCCTAGTCCCTATGAACCCCGATGCGAGTTTGATTACTGCGCTCATAGAGCGGTGCCGACCCGTCTTTTTTTTTTTTTTTTGCATTATTTATGTTTGGTTCTACACGCAGACAAAAGATGCCGTTTTGGCATTGAAAACCCTACTAGCTACCTCCATCGACATCCTACCTCCATCGATCTCCTTCCTCCATCGCTCCATCAAACTCCTTCCTCCGCGCCATACAAACGGCCGCGCTGCGGGAGAAGATCGGCCGCCGCATCTCCTCCAGCGACCTCCATCGATCGGCCTCCTCTCCACTCGGCGAAGCCCGATCGAGTTCCTGCGGCTGCTTGGAAACAAACGGCCGCCGCATCTCCTCCATCGATCGACTTCCTCTCCACTCGACGAAGCCCGATCAAGTTGTTGCCACCTGCAAAAGTTATCTGAGGTATTGATGAAACCGTTAGCAAGAGAGATGGAGTGGCGGGGAAAATGCTGCTTCGTTTTGTTGGGTCTTAATCCACCGGCGTAAATCAATCACTCTGAAATTCTGAATGGTCAAACCTAGGGTCAATAAGCCATATCAAGCAGGCCCTACATTCAGTAAGAAACTTTTTGTGGTCAACGGGCGGTCCAATAGGCCCCAAGACAAAGCCCAAACAGGGGAGAACCTTGGACCGGCCGCTCTACATTTCGAAATAGAATACGAGCGGGAACCAGGGAAGAAAGAACAGCAAAAGGAAAGACGTCTGTGAGTCTGTCTTACCTTCCGTTCCGTTCCGTTCCGTCCTGTCTTGGCTCTCCTCAAAAATTTCAAAATTATTCTTCTCCCTCTCCCTCCTTCTCTCTCTCTCTACAAGGAATCGACATTCCGAGCTCCAATTTCCCGATTCTGGCTCTAGATCGAGAATTCCCGGGTTCCCCATTCTTCAGTTCTTCTTCATCTGCAAGTCGATCCGTAGCTTCACGCGCATGCACTCAGTCTCCGTCCGCGACCGACCCTCTTCATTTCACTACAGTCTCCACTCTCTAGTCCCTCCCCAGCCGATTTCTTCATCCTTCCGACTGAGTGAGTTCCCGGTTGCTGGGTTCTTTTCATCTGGAAGTTTCGGATTCGGGTTTTGCTTGTTTCAGTTTTTTGTTCTGCGTTAGTCTGGAATGAATCCGCTGCGAGCTCCTCTTCCACTTTGTAGTGCATATCGATAGCTTGCCTGTGTTAGTCACTTGCCTAATTGGGTACTGAAGCTATTAATTAATCGCCCAAAACAACAAGATCAGGGCTTCTGGTGGTTTTTATATGTCTGGTTCATTAATTAGTTCTCCATAAGTTTACCCTCGTGTTGTAAATTTGCAGATACAGACTACTTCACCAATTTATAGCCCATTTTTCTTCACTGAAACATGGGGCTGGAGGACTACCATGTGATAGAGCTAGTTGGGGAAGGATCTTTTGGGCAAAGTCTATAAAGGCCGACGCAAATGCACTGGCCAGGTTAATGTCTCGTCCAAATTTTGATTCATTTCACATGCTTTTTCAAGAACATCCTCCTTGGATTCCTTTGATCTTATTGCTGTTGGTGCATCCATGGCAGACTGTTGCCATGAAGTTTATAATGAAACAAGGGAAAACCGAGAAGGATGTTCATAATTTGAGGCAAGAAATTGAGGTAATCAAGTACTTTCTCATCCTTCCTTCGCTCTTCTTACTGTTGTTTCCTTGTTACCGCGTCATTGCTTTCCTCTTTGTCTTCTTTGTTCATCATCTGGTAGCCATTGCCATTAGACATGCTTAGGTTGATTGATTTAGATCGTGGTGCGAGGAAACTAGTGGCTTTCTAATGCTGTTCATGCATGGCATTCCCTGCAAGGGTATGGTCATAAAACATCCCAAGGAAAATCTAAAGATAGACGATGAAAGTTGTGGAAGACATTCTGTATACAGAGCAATTCTCCATTATGTAACCTTTTTTTGACAAGCTGTATGTAGTCTTTATAGCGAGTGCAATGATGATAGATGGAATAAATAATTATGGTGTTGATTGGTTTGTTATCAAGCATTCCATCTGCATTGAGTATTAATGTCCTGAACTTTCTTTGTTTTACAGATTTTGAGAAAGCTAAAGCATGAAAATGTTATTGAAATGCTTGACTCGTTTGAGAGTCCCCAAGAGTTTTGTGTTGTCACAGAATTTGCCAGGTATTACGTGGTCTTAAGTTCTATAGTAAGCTACAGAGTTCACTTAATAATCATGGAATATTATCGATCCACCAGTAGTTGATTGCTTTTTCTGAAATTCCAGGGTGAACTATTTGAGATACTAGAGGATGACAAATGCCTCCCTGAAGAACAAGTCCAGGCTATTGCAAAGCAACTGGTAGTAGTTCCACCTATGATCTCACGTCTAATCAGGATTTCACATGATCATAACAAACCTTTAGCCTCTTTTGGTCTGAACTTATTTCGTTAAACTTTGTAGGTGAGAGCGTTGCATTATTTGCACTCAAATCGAATCATCCACAGGGATATGAAGCCGCAGAACATACTCATCTGTTCTGGATCAATTGTTAAGGTTATATTGTGAATCCAAGTTTGCTCAGGATATATTATTTGTAAATTTTAACAGCCCAACGTCAAGTTTGCTGCTGTACATATGCATCAACACATGATGCCTAGTTAGCTTAATGCTATTAGCTTTTAAATTCATAAGCATTTTGTTTTTGTTTTCCTGTATTCACTATCTGTTTGAGTTTAGCAGCAGTTGCTCATCATCACTATATTAGAGGATGTTTAAATAATTACAACTCTTGTATTAACTATTCATTTCGTCTCATGGCAGCTTTGTGATTTTGGGTTTGCCCGTGCAATGTCCCAGAACACTGTCGTTCTGCGGTCCATAAAAGGTGCTTATACAGTATAGCTTTTTCGTGTTTTGTCCTTGGAAAATCTTCATCGCAGCCTTGGTAGTGTGACTCTGATATTGATCCCGCTCTTCAGGAACACCCTTATATATGGCTCCAGAGCTGGTCCGGGAGCAACCTTACAACCACACTGCTGATTTGTGGTCGCTTGGAGTTATATTGTATGTGGTAGTGACCTGTTCAGTGTTTGTGTCTGTGTCATGTCATTTCCTTATTTTATGTGGTTTACCTGATGTTCCATTTTGCATTCTCCTCAACAGATATGAATTGTTTGTTGGCCAGCCCCCGTTTTACACAAATTCTGTATATGCTCTCATCAGGCACATTGTTAAGGTGTGTAAGCATATACATTAAATGGTTTTCTACTTTTAAGGTGTGCTTGTAGAAGCTAATGCCATCTTTGCTGTTGTAGGATCCTGTAAAATATCCGGATAACATGAGCTCAAATTTAAAAGCTTCCTTAAGGGATTGCTCAATAAGGTGGCCTCATATATTCTCTGTTTGGTCTTCTGCTTCTCTTTCATTTTTGAGATTGAGGTTAATCATCGTTTTGCAGTCACCACAAAATCGGTTGAGTTGGCCTCATCTTCTGGAACATCCATTTGTCAAAGAGATTTCAGATGAAATGGAGGGCAGGGTATTGCTATCCTTCTCAGATCCTATCTTGGCTCTTCAACTTTTTCCCTGGGAAAGAAAATTAACATTCAATGCCATTCTACACGGAACAGCATATTACTTTTTTCTCTTGACTTGCATAAAATAGATTTTACAGTTAATGGTTTATATGCATTTTCATGTGAGTCTCTACATGACCTTTAGTTGGACAATTTAGGACATTCTCGAACTTGTGAAATTGCAGGAGGTTCCCTTTGCAGTTGCTGCAGCTTGTGAATCTGATGCAGCCTTGGATATTTGCAGAAAAAACAGCCAAAGATCAGCTGATCTAGCTGGGTCTTCTCCTGAGTGTATTGACCATTGATCAATACAGCAAAAATTGAAAGCTAAACTATTTAGTTAGAGTTGCTATTCAAACTGCAGTACTCCAGTGCTATCTCCATCTAAATTGTCTCAATATAGTTGCAGGGAATACTTCACCAGTACCTCCTGAGGATTTTTCCTGGATTTGCAAGTCATAATGATGTCAAGCACTCTGGTATATCTTGCTGTTAACCTGAAACTGGATTCACTTGTAGTTGATTTTCCTTAATGGTGTCCTTAAAGATAATGAGTTGGTTCTTTTCTGAAGTGAATGTGCTCGGTCTCTTTCCTTCTTTACTTTCACATTCCTCGAAGTAGTTAAAAGGTATGCTAGTAGTGCTGTAAACTTCCTGTTGATGAAAAACCAGATGTGTGTGCTTTGCTTTTTATCTTACAGAAGTCTGCGGTACCTGAAAATTTTCTTGCATGGAAAATATTCTGGCCAGTGATTTGTGTCTTGCAGTTTTCTCTTCTTTGCAATTCAGTTAAGGCTAAGTGTAGAAGTTAGTCCCTTTCGTTTTCACCTTTCTCATGGTCTCGGACCTCTTCATTATAAATTGATCCTTTTTTCAGGTAATCATACGTTGGACAGATTGGAAACAACTCACGAACAGTTAAAGGCGCACAAGTAATTGGTAAAGATAACGAAGCATTGACACAAGTCTTGCTACCTCTGAGAAGGTGGTCAAAAGACTCCCAACATTCATGCAGGTCAAACTCTGCTCCACTGGCACGTGTTATAAGCTCGATAGATATCCTTGACTTTTGAAGGATGCAATGTCTCTGTAGTTCACAGATGGATTTATGTCTATATATGCTTCTCAATTGTGGGATTAAATGTGCTCTCAATTTTTACAGGGATCAAGAGATTATTTGTGCAAACCAATCAATGAGAATTCTTTCTAACTTGGCTGCTGCTGGGGCTTTCCAGTCTAGTGGACTGCTAGATGAAATACTGAGTGAACTTTTTGAGTTCACTTCCAGTATAATGAGCCTGAATTCATCTGGACTCAATGAATTACTATCCAAGGTATAGTCTTGAGGTCTGAATTTACAGGCCTTTTCTCTTGGATATATATATATGTGTGTACAGTGCTTGGAAAGAAATTTGACATTCTATACGTGTGGATGATCCATGCATCTTTATTGTTTGTTTTCTCTGGTCTTGGAGGCAGTAAAGGAAGTCGAGCACATTTTGCTATTTGACGTTTGTAAGAACTATACAATTAGTCAATTATAGGAGCCAGGTGTTCCTTGAGATCCAAAAATGATTAGTATTTTCAGCTTAGCATCAAGCATAAATATTTGTCTTAACTGAGTTGAAAGTCAAATATAATATTGTGTTAACTAAAAGAGTGTACCTTCAGTTCCAATACAAAGTTAAATATAATTATTTGTGTTAACTGAGTTGAAGCCTCCAAGAAATTTATTGAAATGAGAAAATAATGTTGCTTAGAAACAGCAACTTTGTGCTAACTAAACCAAGGTCCGAATCTTAGAAACCTTTCAGATTTAAGATTGACCTCAGTTGAGCATTCATTTATCTCTGTCAAAGTTTTGTATTGACTTGCTCCTATTTTTGTTGTTCAGTTAGTAGTTCAGTAACCAATAGCCTCAGCACGACATCTTATAAACCAAAGTTTTGCAGGTTCTCTCTGTCATAAAGCATTTGTTAGATTGTAGTGTAAGTTGCATTGCAAGTTCACATTTCACAAAACACTGGGTTGCAATGACAGAAATTTTTTCACAGGTAAATAATGTATCCCTCAACCCCGTTTCCTTTCCTGGACTACCATATGCACTGTTTCAAGCCTTTTTGTCTTATTGAATATGCAGATTCTCAGCTCCAGTGAGGACTCTACAGGAAGAGTTGTTTATGAGGCCAGCACTTGTATCACATCTGTATTATCAAAAGTAGCAAATGCTCTCAAAACTTCAGATTCAGATACAGTTAACACTCCTTTGATGATTGAGAGATCAAAGCAGATCCTTGATCGAGCTAAGACATGTGGCTTGATGGAGCAGTTATGCATTTGCTTAGCAACCGCAGGCTCAGGCCTCATTTCTGGTTCTTCCACCATGTTGCGTACTGCTTGTGAAGCTTGTAAGGCAATCTGGTCACTGATAGATGGAGTGGAAGCTCTTTACATGAAATCAAATCCCTCGTTATTTCCTGTAACTGCTTTTCGAAGTTGTTCAATGCGCCGGCTTCAGATTCAGGACCGTGAAAGAGTCTCGTTGGTGGGAACAGATTCTACAAGAATGATTGATGCATTTGTTAGAGCTTTCTTGAGATCAAAAGCTGTTCAGGTAGCTGTCTCCTACTGTTTACGTCAACGTATGGAGACTTCACTACAGGCTACAATACAGGTGCTTCCTTATGATTTTGTAGTTATAGTTCATATCATGGTTTAATAGTGAATTATATTATATTACCCCTTATAGAGATGTTGTAAGCTCCGCTAATGACTATTTCAGATCCTTTCAAGATGCTGCCTGCAAAGTGCAATTATTCCTGGCATTCTTTGTGGCTTACCCACTTCGCTTCCTTCTACTACTGTTGTAAGTGGTGGAGGAGATGGAAGTATAGTTTATGAAATATTCTCCGTTTTGTCATTGTGTGCTTCGTTGCTAAGCAAAGACCCTCAAGCAGGCGAAACAGCAAAGACTAAGTTCGCAAATCCTTCCCTTCTAGCGACGCATTCGTGCCTCCTGCTTGCTATTATTGCTCAGTGTTTCAAATCCTCTGGAAGAAATTCTGCATTGTTTGTGCTGACCACTTCCATGAAAAAACAGCAAGCCAGACTTTCAGTTCTTGCCCACCATTTTTCTTCTGATGATGGGAAGGCTTCGCTGCATCCACATTCTGCATCAGCTATGTTGGCTCTTTCTTGTATTCTATCCCTTGAGTGTGGTACTCCTGTCGAGTCGTCAATCTCTGAAGTAGCAGTTCCTTTGATTCCTCGAACTGCCACTCTCTGTGAACAGCTTAAGGTATTGGATGGAAATGGAACAACTAAGCCTCATAATTCCAGTGGTGCTCTATCATATTGGCATGGTCTTCGGGATGGATGTGTTGGCTTGCTAGAATCAAGACTGAAGTGGGGAGGGCCACTAGCTGTACAGCAGCTATGTGCAAGTGGCATTCCTCTTCTTCTAATTGAGTTGTTAAACCACAACCATCAAATTGCCTCTGCTCAAGAAACTGCCAGCAGTGGATATCAGGTTGGGCTCTCCCCTGCAGGGGTTGTGTGGACAGTTTCATCGATTGGCCATTGCCTTTCCGGTGGAGCTTTGGTCTACCGTCAGATTTTTACTTAGGCTTGAACACATCAAGCTAGTCAGTGACTTGATATCTGAAGTTCACCTCAAGCTTGTTAAAGGGTGGGGTGGTCCAGGTGGTGGAAAGGATGGAGTGAGAGATCTGATAAACTCTGCAATTGATATGCTAGCTTTCCCTTTTGTTGCTATTCAGAATGCTCCTGGTCTGCCTGCTTCTAATGCATCTATAAACAGCGGCTTCCTTCTCAACACGGGTTCACCTGGGGGTAAAATATGCATTGAAGATAGGGCCATTGTGAAAGCAATAGAAGAAGATTTAGGAAGTTTGCAAAAATCCTATTGGAGGTAAGATCGTGTTCTCTTTCTTTGCAAACTCGATTTTACTGTTGGCTTGTTACATGGAACTATCATGGAGTTCATACCTGACTAAGGGTTTAGCGTAGAGATAGCTAACCTCATTATCAAGATCTTCAGCATCATTTTGCATTTAAAGGCTCAGATGTCTGCTATCCACTGTGAAATTATGTTTCTGATTCTCATTATCAAACCTTAGGTGGGAGTACCTAGCATTATTCTTCAGTGCCTGGAGCATGTAGAAACAAAAGATTTGGGTAGGCCTGTTGCATTTCTTGCAAAGATGGCTGGCCACAAGCCTATGGCTGTTCACCTTGTGGGCAAAGGCTTGTTGGATCCTAATAGAGTTCGAAGACTGCTTGATAGTTCATCCCCAAGGGAGGTTACATTGGATATCCTTATGATAATCTCCGACTTAGCTCGGATGGACAAGGTAGCTCCTACTACCCTGTGTTAGCATTGCTCTTCAGAAATGGCTTTTATACTCTGATTGCAAACCAAAATATCTTATATCAGTAGAATCAATTATTCAGTAGAATCAATTATGAAATGGTTAAACACCTTGCTTACCCGTCCTCAAGTTTGCTAGAAAATTATAATCGTGCAGTCCGTGAGTTCATTAGCTTGATTGGATATTCTCTGTTTGCAGGGATTCTACGAACATATCAACCGCGCTTCTGTTCTAGAGATCTTGAAGGACTTCCTGATACATGAAGACCCTAACATTCGGGCAAAAACTTGCAGTGCTCTTGGCAACATGTGCCGTCATAGTGCCTACTTCTACACTTTGCTAGTATGTAAACAAACAAATTGCACTCCAATTTTAAACTGTGGTAGTTGTTGCATTTAATCACTGTTTTTGTTATCACTTTGCAGCAAAGGCATCACATAATTGGTCGCCTAATTGATCGCTGTGCAGACCCAGATAGACGTACCAGAAAATTTGCATGTTTTGCTGTAAGCTTTCTGTTTGAACTGCTTTTATATATTTAGACATTTTTTAGTTCAATTATGTTCTTATTTATTTCGTTTTGTCGTCCCCAGATTGGAAATGCAGCATACTATAACGAGATGTTATACGATGAGCTCAGAAGATCAATCCCTCAGCTAGCCAAATTGCTGCTGTCATCCGAGGAAGACAAGACGAAAGCCAATGCTGCTGGTGCATTGAGCAATCTCGTTCGCAACTCCAGCAAACTCTGCGACGAAATTGTCTCCAATGGAGCTATGCAGGTTTGTCATGCAAACTATGAACCAGAAGTGATCGCATATGCCTTTCCATGCAAATGGAGGACAATGTTTTAATGCACACCCGAGAACGAAGATAAATTACTGTGCAACTAGAGAAATTGTTCATGGACAGATGATTCTGTTTTAATGCAGGCTTTGCTGAAGCTGGTAGCCGACTGTTCCACGATAGCCCTGAACCCAAGTAGGAAAGATGGGTTGAACGAATCTCCCCTGAAGATAGCGCTTTTTTCACTGGCGAAGATGTGTGCACACGCGCCTTGTAGGGAGTTCCTCCGGTCATCAGAATTATTTCCTGTGATAGGGCAACTGAGGCAGTCCCCGGAATCCACCATCGCCAACTACGCTACCCTCATTATCAGTAAAGTCGGCGGAACTTGAGATGGAGTTGGGAGGGGTAGTTACAGGTTAAACATCCTCGTTAGCTTTTTTTAGTTCCAGAGATGTGCTGATGGGAGTGGTTGTTTTGGCGCTCGTTCAAGAACTCACAGCTGATAGTGCAAACAAGGATTGCGCGATCCTTTGTATGAAATTGTTTTATGTGCTTTCATGCTCAAAAACTGATGTAGATTGGAGCATGTGACATTCTGATAGTGAGCAATTTGCAGTTGATCAAGCAACTTAATGCAGCCACGAAATTACCAACTGGAAATCATCTCTAACGTGCCATTTCTCTACAAAGTTACATCATGTAGTTGTATGTGAAGTTATGTTTCTAACAGCGGTACCATTCTCATCTGTTCATCGTCGTGGATAATGGTCGATGGCCTGGAAGCTTCTAACGTGCATATAATCATAGTTCAAGCCAAACTCGAGCGATGGATGTACGACGAGATGGAATAACAGACAAGTTGTGGGATGACTTTCAAGCTGGATTTATTTGAATTTTTATGTTGTACCAGTACTTAATTAATATAAGATGTTGTACTTGTATTCTGTTTATTTGTAGTTTAAAAACTATTTAATTCAAATTGAAAATTATAATCATGTCTAGGGTTGTATGATAATCAAGAATCAGAAAACAGAATGAAGCAACTAAACAGGTTTTCATTTCAGAACTCAATTTCAGAACTCACCAAAATTCTCAGCTAAACAAGGTTTTTTCAGGTTTTGTTTTCCAGGAAATGACAACTTCGTTTTCATTTTAATCTTGTTTTCTGTTGTGGCAGCTAACAGAAATGGAATGGCAAGTAAACGGCCCATCAGGTGGTCTCACCGATTCTTTTCTCCAAAACACAATATCTGTGTCAATACTTTTTAATCCGCCATATTTGTAATAAATTTTAAAAAAAAATACAATATTTGTGTCATCCTTCCAAAAAAGGAGCGCGCCTCCAAATCCAATTGGCCGTTACCGGTAAAAGGAAACGGAAGATGATAAGCTTCTCTGTATCCCCTCCGACGAACGTCCTCCCCCTCAGACCTTCTTCAGCCGCCGTTCCCGGCGAAAAGCATTCATCTAATTTATCGTCATCCTTCAAACCCGCCGCCGATTTCCAACCTCTGCAGCTAAAAACCGCTCTCCTCCGCCAACTCGATGCCGGGAACCTTCACAAAGCGGTCTCCACTCTTGACACGATGGCCCAACAGGGGAACTATCCAGACCTCGCCGCCTATTCCCTTCTCCTCAAATCCTGCATTCGCTCCCACAACTTCCAGCTCGGCCGGACCGTTCACGAGAACCTCTCCCGCTCCGGAATCGAGCCCAACTCGGTCATCCTCAACTCGTTGATCAGCCTGTACGCGAAATCCGGCGACTTGGAGAGAGCCGATTCGATATTCGGGAGCATGGGAGGGAAGAGGGATGTGGTTTCATGGAGCGCGATGATCTCTGGTTATGCAAACAATAATGGGATGGGATTCGAAGCCATTGCTGCGTTTGTAGAGATGCTTGAATCCGGGATTTTCCCCAACGATTACTGCTACTCCGCGGTGATTAGGGCGTGTTCCAGTAAGGAGATGTTACCCTTCGGCGAGGTGATCTTCGGGTCGGTGTTGAAAACGGGGTACTTGGGTTCCGATGTCTGCGTGGGTTGTGCGCTGATTGACATGTTTGTAAAGGGAGGTAAGGACTTGGAATCTGCCTACCAGGTGTTTGATAAAATGCCTGACAGAAATGTGGTTACCTGGACGTTGATGATAACGAGGTTTCAGCAGCTGGGATGTCCTAGAGAAGCCATTGAATTGTTCATCTCAATGGTTTCGAATGGCTGCGTGCCAGATCGTTTTACTCACAGTGGAGTGATTTCTGCTTGTGCCGAGTTTGGGTTTCTTATCACCTGGGCAGCAGTTCCATGCTTGGGTTATAAAGTCAGGATTGGCGTCAGACGTTTGCGTTGGATGCAGCTTGATCGATATGTATGCGAAATGCTCTCCAAACGGGGCGCTAAATGTCTTAAAGGAAGTGTTCGACAGAATTCAAGACCATAACGTGATGTCTTGGACCGCCATCATCACAGGCTACGTTCAGAGTGGAGCACACGACATGGAAGCAATCGAGCTCTTCCTCGAAATGGTTCAAACCCGAATTACCCCCAACCAGTACACTCTCTCTGCAGTTCTTAAAGCGTGTGCAAGCCTCTCCAATCCACTAATCGGCGAACAAGTTCACTCTTATGCAATGAAGCTTGGTCTTTCAGCAGTCGACTGTGTAGGCAACTCTCTCATCACCATGTACGCGCGATCAGGGAACATGGAACACGCCAGGAAAGCCTTTGATGTCTTGTTTGTGAAAATCTGGTTTCTTACAACGCCATGGTCGATGCATACTCCAAGAGCTCAAACTCCGAACAAGCATTCGAGCTCCTGCACGAAATCGAAACCGAAATCGATTCCTTCACATTCGCCAGCCTATTGAGTGGAGCTTCGAGCATTGGCGCGATAAGCAAAGGCGAGCAGATCCATGCCAGGATCCTAAAATCGAGCCTTGAACCGTGCCTTCACGTCTCCAACGCTCTAATCTCCATGTACTCCACCTGCGGAAGCATAGATTCCGCTTCCCAAGTCTTCAATTCCATGGCAGATCGAAACATCATATCCTGGACTTCAATGGTGACAGGATTTGCCAAACACGGATTGGCAGCTAAAGCATTGGAGACATTCGACGAGATGGTGAAAGCAGGAGTGAAGCCGAATGATGTGACCTACATTGCAGTTCTATCAGCTTGCAGCCATGCAGGGTTGGTCTCAGAAGGATGGACACACTTCGAATCGATGAAGACCCAACACGGTATCAACCCCAGAATGGATCATTACGCTTGTATGGTCGACTTGTTAGGCCGATCAGGGCATCTAAACGAAGCCATGGAGTTCATCAACACAATACCATTTAAGCCAGACCCTTTAGTCCTCCGAACACTCCTCGGAGCTTGCCAAGTACACAAAAACACAGACCTCGGCAAGCATGTTGCCAACATGATCATCGAACAGGACCCCGACGATCCTGCAGCATACGTGCTGCTTTCGAACCTCTATGCATCAGCCGGGCAATGGGACAAGGTGGCAGAGATCAGGAAACATATGAAACAGAGGAATCTGGCCAAGGAAGCCGGCTGTAGCTGGGTCGAGGCGGGTAACTTGATCCACAAGTTTCACGTCGGCGACACATCACACAAACAAGCTTTCGAGATCTACCAGGAGCTGCACGCGCTGGTCAACGAGATCAAAGAGATGGGTTACGTTCCGAACACGGACTTCGTGCTCCATGATGTTGGGGAAGAAGAGAAGGAGAAGTATTTGCTGCAGCACAGTGAGAAGATTGCTGTGGCGTTTGGGTTTATTGGTTCGGTTGGGTCTTCCAAACCGGTCAGGGTTTTCAAGAATCTGCGTATTTGTGGGGATTGCCACTCGGCTTTCAAGTACTTCTCGGTGGCCCGGGCCAGAGAGATTGTGGTCAGAGATTCGAACCGGTTCCATCACTTCAGGAACGGGAGTTGCTCCTGCAATGATCATTGGTGAATATTTGGGCCTCATAACTGGTGTGGGCCTTAAAAATGTTGGACCCCCTGGGTTGGGCTAATGGAGGATGGGCTTCAAGTACATTTCCAGCTAGAGAAATCTTCCCAACATGCTGCTTTTTTCTTCTTTTTTTTCAGTACATACCTCTACTCTCCAAAATGTAACAACTAACAACCATATAGGTTATTATAAAATAAAATAAAAGTCACAACCATATAGAAAATAATACAGAAAATTCAGAGATATCGGTAATAATACAGAAAAGAAATAAGATTAACAATCGATGTAATGATGCATGTTGGATGAAAGTGCCAAGAACTTGAACCTCTTCGAGAAGTTTGTCACTCATAACATGCAACGAATCATTCACAATGAACTTTCAGATAAGAATCTGAGTTTCACCACAACATAGTACATTAGTAACCAAATGAGCAAACCACTCTGACACCATCTAACCGCATTCCTTAATGTAATAAGTTCGACGATAAACGAATCTACCGTAGCACCATAAAACCTGTCAATTTTATACAGGAATTCCAACCTGCAGTGTTAGGTTATATACAAGTATACAACACGTGTATCATGCCCACAAAACACCGTCCATACTTGTTCGTAGAAAAATGTTTAAACAAATTCGAAAAGGAATATGGCAACTGTTCCTCTTGCCAGCAGTGCTAGCTAGGACTACACTTGACGAAACTCTGATAATTTTGTACAGAAAGATCTACAATAATAATGTATTATTAATTTATTATTAATATATAAGGGATTAATAATTTAGTGACACGTACGTCCGGAAAAAAGGGCCCAGAATCTTACCCAATCATGGGTCCGTGATATTTTTTTCCATTGGGAGGAGGGGCCGGCTCGATAATTTTGGGCCAACGAGAACATTCCAACGCATGTTCAAACGAAAATAGGAAAGGGGGGATAATGAATTCATTAGTCCTTGCTAGTTTTTGGTCATTTCACAAGCTAACTAATCAACTTCTTAAACATGTGGAGGGATCGTGTGTTGTTAAAACGTTTCACGCAATGACCCTTTCGTTTGGAGACGTCTACTATATATCTATGGGGTGTCAATATTGTTAACTCACAATCATTCAAGTATATTTTTCTCTCTCGCTTCCATGTTGTTTATGTCCCTTCGTTGTTATCATCGTGATCAAAGCTTTTTACAAGAAGATGCTTGTTTGCCTTTTTTTTTCAGTTTCAATCGAATGGTGATCTCTTTGGGATTGGGAAAGTGAATGACAAAACAAGTTTGTAGCAATTGGACAATACACGCGAGTGACAAATGCGAACGCTTTCTATCGAGCACCACTATGCTTACAGTACAGTACAGGAAGACAAACAACTGAAACAAGCCATGGAAAATTTCAAGCATGTGTGCGAGGCTATTGTTTGGTGTGATGAGTATATTCATAGTGGTGGTCTGGTGGATCTACATTGTCATGGAAACCCTCAACCATCCTCCAATTCCGAGTTAAAAATACTGAACTTGTAAGTGTTTTGAGAAATAATTACACTGATAAGACAGAAATTACTCATTTTTCACGCTCAGTTTTCAAGATTTTGAATTTAATAAATTTAATCTTTCAGGCCAGCTACTCAGATTTCTAACTCCACCACCGTGTATTTTGAACAATGAGGATGCATGCTTATGAATGAGTGAAGGGAGTGGTACACTCTGAGTGAAATGACCTAAAACGGAGACGTATTAGCTGAAAATTTAATGAAACAAAAAAGATAACTAGCTCAACAATGAGAAAAATATTTGGCGATGCAGCTAATAAATATATAAATTAATAACATAATAAGATCTCAATGCGAAGTGCAAAGAAAAAAGTGACACATTGTACGAGGTGCAACTCTCGACACGCGACCGAGCACAGTATGCCACGTGTCCCCGGGTACGTCAAGTCAAAGAAATTTCATTTTTTAAAAATCGTAAATTTCATTGCTTTAGTGTCAGCGAATGAATATGAGGAAAAAGGTGGGGCGTTCAAGAAAAGTCCCAAAAGCAAAATCCTCTACCGCCACGGTACGCCACGTAACGATTTTTCTCTCTCCGAGACCAATTTTTTTTTTTTCCAACGAAGAGAAAAAAATCAAAATAGTAGTTTCCAGCCGGCCGTGGGGCCGACCTTCCACCGAAACCAAAATCCAGGGCGGGGAAAGATCTCGATCGACCACGTGACACGGCGAGGCTCAATCCCAGCCGTCCACGTCTCCCCCTCCGGTCCCCGAAATGTCTCGTGGAAATATCCGCGCGGGTGGTATCTACATGCCCATGTCCATGTGGCGGTAACTCTATGGAGCCAACCCTAAGGCTGCGTTTGCTGACCCTTATTATTTTCAACATTTTTTGGGATTAATAATGAGTTACATATTTAGGGCAAAGGGGTAAAGTTTGTGGTGTTTTTTTTTTGTCGTAGATTAATTATGAGTTTCACATGTCGAGTTTACTAGATGCTCTTAATCAATATAAGATTATTGAAGATCATATACTATTTTTCTAACTCCAAAAATCGAATTACAAAACAATGACATTGTATAATCTCGAAGTACAGATCCTTTAATAACATCTGACATAAGAGATCATGTGAATTATCGATGGATGAGGATGTTGAAATCCTCCTTGAGTTATAAATATGGTATCAATGTGGCTTGCAGGCCGCCAACAAAACGATCCGATTCGTTTAGAAGTGATTAATTATTAGCGCGATATTTAGTATGATGAGTGTGTTCGTCAATAAACAATAACCTATTCGTTCTACAAGTGAACTCTTGACCAAGAGTACAATTTATCAACTCGCATTGAAAAAGAACCAAACACTCGATATCTAAGGGGAAAAATTACAGGAATAAGTTACGACGAAATCTCAAACTGATAAGATTGTGTGTTATGAATCAAACAATACGATTATATTATTTTTTTCTCATCATAATCCACATATTGTTAAATCAGACCAAAAATTGTATCGAAAAACTCAACGAAAATCCATAATATATATAACTATAATTCAACCTACTTCATATCGTTCAAAATACCGTAAATAATTTTTCTGATCGAACCACGAGTATCGTAAAAAAAATTCAAATCTTGCTCGTTATATATATATATATATATTGAAGGACCTCATACGTCGTTGTCGCCATGCTGTATTTATATGAAACCAAACAAGCACCATTGTCCCCTCCCCTAACCTTTCCATTTTCCTCCCCCCCTCTCTCTCTCTCTCTCTCTCTCTCTCACCCAACTCTCTCAAGCTCTTTATCTCCTTTCAACTTCCGTCCAAACCAAACAAATGAACGGGTGGCAGTTCGGAATTGGATTTGCTGCCAATTGTTAGCTACCCCAAACCTTTCTCCTCTCTCTTTCTCTCTCTAGATGAATCAGTTCGTGCTCACCAAAACGATCAACGCCCGCCGCCGGCGACTGAGAATCCGGCGACTCAAGTACACCTGCGAGTCTCCCAACTCCCACGATCTCACCGCCACTCTTTCCCCCGCCTTGAAGGAGAAAGATAAATCCTCCTCTTCTCCCGCAGCAGCCGTCCGCGAGATTTCCGTGCTGTTGACCGCCACGTCAGCACCGGCCGAGAAGAATGACAGCAACTCGGATCCGGGAAACGACGCCGTTTCGTGCGGATCGGCGTCGGCGAATCGGCGGGAGGAAGGAGATGGAGGACGCGGTGGCGGTGGAGCTGGGGTTTAAGGGCGGGTACGATTTCTTCGGGGTGTACGACGGGCACGGCGGGGCGGGGGTGGCGGAGGCGTGCAGGGAGCGGCTGCACGAGCTGCTGGCGGAGGAGATTGGCGCCGGCGTTGCCGCCGGTGCGGAGTGGGGAGGGGTGATGGAGAGGTGTTTCGGGAGGATGGACGGGATGGTGGAGGAGAAGGATCGGATGGTGGGGTCGACGGCGGTGGTGGCGGTGGTCGGGAGGGAGGAGGTGGTGGTGGCCAATTGCGGCGACTCCAGGGCCGTGCTCTGCCGCGGCGGCGGCGTTGTGGTTCCGTTGTCTTCGGATCACAAGGTAATGAATCATATACTTGCCTTATCTAAAGCGATGAATGAAATCTTATTATTTTTTTATCAATAGTTGAACTACGGATGAAATAACTCGTTTTACCACTAAACCAGCGGTCTTTTTTATAACACCTAGAAGTATAATAAAACTGAATAGTCAAGAACAACTCTATAACAATTTGATGTATTCAAATAATGCATCACCCAGCTCATGAGCTACCTCGCCACATCTCTCAAAATCACCGATTGAGGATAAACACGAAAACAAACAGATGAATTGATGATATTAATGTACCGATATTGGTATTTAACGAATTCGGCTATCATGTTGAATAGAGTAGCTACTCGCGATCTTTCGTAGAGGAACGAAAGAAACGTACTTAGACCTATGTCGTATAACGGTCTAGTAAATCATGATTTAGCGTTCAGATCAACGGTTAAATCATCAGTTCACACACTTACATGTGTGATGGAAGAAATAGCATTCAACCAAGGATTGTTGATGGCTTACTTATAAGTTATAAGTTATAACCACACTTTTTGTATTCTTAGTTGTTTGTACAATGCTTTGTATTGTTAGTTGTTTGTACTTTGTAGAATGCCTTCCCTTTATGAGCTTTTCTTGGGTCTACAAGTCATTCCCTTTATTGGCATGGTCCATGTGCAATATGATCAAGCCTGTTGATACAAAGATAAAAGGGCAAGATCCCTCGTATCTCTCCCAAAGCTTGTTGTCTAGTGTTCTTCCTTTCCATTAAAAAAGCTTATCCAGCTTCAGTTACCCAAAAATCAAAGTAATTAATTAGTCCTCCTCGTCTAACTCCCTCGTAGAACCACGAGTTACCCGACCATTCTTGCCAAAATGTGACATATCTAGCCAAATTCGAATCGATTTAATTAACACAATCGTACTCGTTTCTGTGCAACTAGTGTACAATAATCTAGCTAGAAGGCAACATAATTGTACTCGTCTATGTGCAACTAGTGTACAATAATGAACACAATCGATTTAATGAACACAATCGTACTCGTCTCTGTGCAACTAGTGTACAATAATCTACGAAGTAAACACGAACACAATTATATAGCTAGAAGGCGCCTGACACTTTTCTTATCTTTCTATGGCAAAAAGCCCGACAGGCCGGACGAGCTGGAGAGGGTTGAAGCCGCCGGCGGGAGGGTCATTAATTGGAACGGCTATCGCGTTCTCGGCGTCCTCTCCACTTCCAGATCCATAGGTATTCCATTCCATTCCATTTCATTGTTCTTTAAAACTCGTAATGGCGACGATGTGACCCCAAAAAAAAAATATTGACCTTGGATCGAGTAATGATCACGAAATGAACTTTTTTTTGTTTATCTTAATCGTCATTTTGAGCAGGCGACGAGTACCTAAAACCGTTCATAATCTCGACCCCGGAAGTCGTTGTGACCAAGAGAAGCCCGGAGGACGAGTTCCTAATCCTGGGGAGCGACGGGCTGTGGGACGTGATCTCCAACGAGGACGCGTGTCAGGTGGTCAGGAGGTGTCTGAAAGGACGGATGAGGCGGCGGCGGGGATCCTCGCAAGAGCCTCCCGCGGCCGCCGGTATGGAACTGATCGGCCGGGGCGGCCGCGCGGCGGAGGCTGCGGCGGTGCTGGCGGAGCTGGCAATGGCGCAGGGGAGCAAGGACAACATCAGCGTCATCGTCGTGGAGCTGAATAATATCAATGGTGGTAATAGTAGTTAAGGCGTTGTAGTTAGCTAGCTAGTGCAAAAATGCTAACAAGAAAAACAAAAGTTGGCTGGAACTCAACTCGATTGGTGTCCATATTTTATTTTATTTTATTTTGGGGGATTCATTTTTTTCTCCGATTAATATCCTTGTGAAATTTGACGATTTGATCAGGGGTTTTTTTTGGAGGGTGGGTCTCGTCGGGTCACTTGTAAAACGTAGCGAGGCGTGGTACTGCCGGCCAAGTGATGCGTTCGATTATGAATCTAATTGTTCTGTTTAATTATGTTGGGATGACAAGTTGGACAACTTTTTGATTGTACAGTAATTTGACGTGTGGGTTTTGAAATTATCTAATTTTCCTCGACTATAATTGTTCAAGTCAGGTAGATAAGACTGAATTTACAGCATCGATATGATTTGTACTATTCAATAATTGGACGAATTATCGAGAGGAAAGAGCTGTTAAGAGGACATTGTGTCAGATAATGAGAAGGAAGAATCATCTCTTTACTGGAAAAAAAATTTGGAGAGCCTTTACATATAAGTTTGATTTTGTGTGCTTATTTTAGCCTCTTGTAATTATTGGACTATGAAGAACTGATTTTATATATTTGAATCAGATTAAATGGTCGAAATATGAATAATTCATGAGAAACTATAAGCCTCCATCAAATTTCTATCTAAATTTATATAATATTTAAAAGTAGTATGATCGAATCAATGCTATATTAACCCAGACCTTCCATCCCTCCAAAATTTAAGTTCAAACATAAAATTTGATTATAATTACTCGCTCTTAATTCTGGCTTTGTCATTTAACCAAAACATCACTAACAACCCACTTGTAAAATAGGTTGGCTCATAGTCGTACTCATACTGATATCCCAGCAGTAATAATCTTTTATCATATAAAGTCCCATTATCTAAGCTCAAATTGGGTTCAGTTCTACGAGTATAAACAGGTAAAAGTGGAAACGCTTGCAGCACAATGGAAACATCCAAGTTCTGGAGAATCAGTAGCGTAGCCAGACTTTGAGTTCACTGGGGTCCTTAAAAATTTACTAACATTAAGCCTGTGTATCTATTGAATTTGTGTTGATTGGGGTCCTTGGTAAGCTAACACCATTAAGAGTATGGGATCCTAAACTTGAAAGATTGTACTAAACCCTATCTCTCTAGAGGGTTTTTTGCCAAGTGGGGTCCTAGGACCCCTCTCCTCCTCACCTCCCTCCGCCACTGTGGAGAATGATCGGGCTCTTCTGCTGGTCAATTCGGGGCAATGGCACAACAACAATCCATCCCTCCAACCATTTCATCTCTTTCCTCCATGGTGGATTACGTTGGCTCGCTCGATGCAGGTACTCGGTTCAGGGGAGTCTGGCTCTGCAGCTTTTTGTTCTTCGCCACGCTTCTGGAGCTTTCATTGCGGCAAAGGCATCTCGTTATGAAGGCTGCTATGATTCTTACGTTTTAGAGGCCTTGGCTCTGCAGGATTGTCTTTGTGAATGTTCTCAACGTAAGTTAATGAGTATTTGCATTCTATGGTGATGCTAAAGTGCTATAGACAAATGTCGAACAGGGAGAGACAAGTGATTCGAAGATTGTGGCTTCTGCTACAAGAGATTGCATTGCTTCTTCAGGATATACTAGCAGCTTCAATTCGTTTCGTTGGTAGAGCTAATAATAGAGCAATTCATTCAGTAGCGCGTTATGCTCTGGGTTTGTCACCTCGACTACTAGCGAGGTTTGATTTTGTTGCTTGGTTACATAGTAGATACTAGATACTAAATAGGGTCTTTGTATTTATGAACTTTGTTCCACCTCTTATTGAGAGGAATCTGTGGGGGGAATTTCCAAACTTCCAAGAAGGCGAAGTCGTGGGCCATTTAGTTTTCTGATCCAGCCCAATTAAAGGTACAGCTAGGAGTCCAACAGCCCAAACCAAAGACGCAGGTGCTGAATTACTTTGCTCGACATTGGACCTCACCTTTTAATCTTGTAACACCTTTTTGAATCCCACATCGACAAAACACATGAGAGATCCATGGTTCATAAGTAAGCAACCGATTTTAACTAACAATATGCGTTTTGGGTGAAATAAAGAAGTTCTTGTGAGAACTTCAAAGTTAAACATGCTTAGTGTGGAGTACAACAAGTATGCATGACCTTATGAGAAGTCAACTTTGAATTGCACCCCATGTCCAAAACCATGAAGGTTGAGGCTCAAAGTGTACAATATTTTCTTCAGGAAAAGGTTCGAGATGTTACAAGTGGGTATCAGAGCCTCTCCGCTTCCCTCTTGAACGATGGTGGGGCAAACCTCAACGAGGACGTTGAGTCCCAAGGGGGGTGATTGTAACACTTTAACTGACAAGACGCGTTTTGGGGTGAAATGGAGGAGGACGTTGAGTCCCAAGGGGGGTGATTGTAACACTTTAACTGACAAGACGCGTTTTGGGGTGAAATGGAGGAGTTCTTGTGAGAACTTTGAAGTTAAACATGCTCAGTGTGGAGTACAACAAGGATGGGTGAGACCTTATTAGGGGTGGGAAACGGTGCGGTTGCGGTTAACTGCACCGTAATTTGCGGTTAACTGCAACCGCAAAACACCCATATTGGCCAACCGCGACCGCGACCGCAACGGTTAGCGGTTAACCAAAAACCGCAGAACGCGGTTAGCGGTGAACCGCGGTTTATGGTTGTGAAAACCGCAACAACCGAAACACCATATGAAACCGCAGTTAGCACTCTAACCGAAAATTAACCGCGAACTAACTGCAAAAAAATCATGGAAAAAAACACAGCAGCTACTGTTTTGTCTATTTTCACTTCCATCAAGCCCCTGCATCTGTCTGCATATCCAAATAACACAATCCACAAGCACAAATGCACAATGCCACAATCCCAAGTTTGAACTTCATAGGAAATTAACCAACATACCAAATAAACATAGACATAGCTAGAAACGAAACGAAACGAATTAACGAAGGGTTTTGATTTTTGTTTCTTCAAAGTTCAAATCATAATTCACTCAAAACGAGTAAACGACGGCGTCGGCAGGGAGAAGTGGGGAGGGTCAGGTCGGGTTTGGGGCTTTGGGCTGCTGCCTGCTGGCTGGGCTGGGGGTGAATTATGGGCTGGGTCTGGTTTCGCGGTTAGCTTTGCGGTTATATGGATTTGCGGTTTCGGTTGCGGTTAAACCGCAAACCGCAAAACAGGTCATATCTCCAACCGCGACCGCAAAATAGGCCAAATATGCGGTTTGCGGTTAACCAATAACCGCGCGGTTTTGGTGTGGTTGTCGGTTTAACCGCAAACCGCCAACCGTTTTCCCAGCCCTAGACCTTATAGGAAGTCACCTTGAATTGCACCCCATATCGAAAACCGTAAGGGTTGAGACCCAAAACGGACAATATCTTTGTCGGGAAAAGATTAGGAATGTTTTAATTTTCCACCAAAGCAATTATTTGGTCAGATCAAATGCCGTAGCCTTTTTCTTTCCTCCATGAAAGGAGCATGTTGAAGTAGTGTAAAGTCAGTGAGGCATGTTTCATGTTGAAGTAGTGTAAACGACTGATAAAGATTTCGAGAATTGAGTAACGCGCATCTTTTGGTTTCTGCCACGTGAGCCAAGAAGAATGGCAGGAACCATCAGTTGATTGGGACTTGGGAGGGGAAAAATGGAAAAGCTCATGATCGATCATGTTCTGCTTTCTAGAATGATTGGATGATTTCGGGTTGTTGATTAGAACCAACCAACCAACCAACTAACCAGACTAAATTGACCGGCCCGTTAAATCTCCATCATCGGCGGTTGGCGGTCAATTTCGGGCGATTAGGCGGCTTACGATACTGATGATTTTACACCTACCTAGTCCATGAGCCAAGAAGTTTAGAGTGTGTTGCAGAAGTTTGGATTAGCGGGTCAGCCACGGGGTATGATTATGACCGCGATTAAGCTTTAATTAATTGGCCACCTAATCACTGGTTTCCGTTTTTTCCCGCTTCCCAATCATGATCTCATCTAACAGATTTTCTTTTAAAAAAAGAAAAAAATTGTACGAGACGCGATATCGTGAAGTGTTAAATTTGGGTCCGTCCCATATTCTAGACACTGATTCAAAAAGTAAAACGACGTTATTTTGTGTTAAACTTAATAATCTGAAAATTATGAGTTGGTTGAATCTTATTACAAATATTACTCTTTATAACAATATATGGATAATTCATGAATGTTAGTGTTTATAGAAATTGTTATAGAACAATTCAAGTAACAAATCGTAAGTACAAGGGAAGAGATTCTTGTATATAAGTGTCCAACAAGCTTATTAGCACGAGGTCTTTTGAAGAGGATACCCAAAAGTAAAATTGTTCGGTTTGGGCCAAAACGGACATTATCGTACTAACTAATGGAGCTATCCGATTTCGACAAGTGGTATTCGAGCCTAGTTCGGTGAATTCGAAGCGATGGATGTCAAGTTCGGTGGACCCTCATTCGATGATCTCGGAATATGAGACCTACATCTGTTTGGCGGATCACGGGAGGTCCGCGTGTGTCTGGTAGATTCAATTGTGATCTGCATATGGTCTGGCGGATCAAGATAATTCCTAAGGAGAGGACACGAATTTCTTAGTCCTTGTCTTAAGTGGATGATTGCTATGAGACAATCCAAGTACCACTTCAGTAATACAAGGGAAAGGGACTCTTGTATATTAGTGTCCACCAAACTCATTAATACGAGGCATTTTGGGGAGGATACACAAAAGTAAAATCATACAGGTTTGGCCCAAAGCGGACAATATCGTAATAATGGAGCTATCCGGTCTCAACATAAATAATTTTTTGTGGAATTTTTGTGATGATATTACGATGTAGGTGTTCGGAGTAATAATGTGTAGTTACGTTTGTGAGCCTTTGAATTTGATTTTCTCTTATAAAACTCAGTAGATATTTTTTGGATTTTTTTCTTGGTATACGCCAAGGTTGTCTACCCGATTTATCCCATTGGTCC